AGGGGAGCTGAGAGGTTTGGGTGTGACGAGGGTAAGGGGGAGGGGAGGAAAGGGCTGGGGGTGTAGAAAAAGGAGCCAAAAAGGAGGGTGAAGGAGAGGATGAGAAAGATAGGGATAGGAGGGAGAGAAGGGAGAAAGGAGGCAGGCTAGAGAGAGAGAGAGAGAAGATGGAGAGAAAGAGAGACAGGTAGAAGAGAGAGAGAGAGAGAGATGAGAGAAGAGAGAGAGAGAAATGAGGAATGAGGGAGAGACAGGCAGAGAGAGAGGGAGAGAGGGAGGGAGGAAAGGCGGAGGGCCACGAAAAATAGAATCATACAAAAGATAACAGAAGAATTCTCCACATACCGAAATATAACACATGATAAAAAATAGAAAAGTTTACATTCACAAAGGAAATATTGGAAAGCCAAGAAATTAAGAAAGAAAATAATGACTTAATGATTGTGTACTTCAATGCCCCCGTAAATCAAAGACAATTACGATCATTTTCAGGTAGGTATTAAGAAGCGTAATTAGACCGTAACATGACATAATTTACTTTTTTGTTGTCTTTCGTTTTTCTTGTAATTACTACCTCGACCACTGCCGCTGCTGTTGATGCTGCTAAAGCTACTATGACTATGCTGCTACTACGGCGATTATTTCTGCTGCTGCTACTGCTTCCCTCGTCATGACTGCTACTGCTGATAAGATGATAATGATAATTGAGCGGCCAACACGAATGATGTTGCTGCTCTTTCTGCTGCCACCAATGCTGTCGTTTCTGCTCTTTCTGCTGCCAACACTGCTCCTCTCTCTGATGTTGTTTCTGCTGCCACCACGGTTGCTGTTTCTATTACTGCCCCAGCTTCCGGCTGCTGTTTCTGCTGCTGTTTCTGCTGCCATCCCAACTCGCTGCTGTGTTTCTTGATTGCCACCACGGCTCGCCTTTTCTGAGCTGCCACCACTGCTGTTGTTCACTGAGCTAGCTCCACTTGTTGTCATTTCCGTGCTGTTTGTTGTTGGCTGCTTAGTATGTCTGGGGGCTGGCCGGCCACTGCTGCTTCGTTTTCTGCTGCACAATACCCATACTGGCTGATTGCCTTTTCTGCTGTTGTTTTCTGCGCCCGAACCGCAAACATGCCTGCGCGTTTCTGCTGCCACCACTGTTGCTGTTATCGTGTTCTATCCTGTCTCGCCGTGACCACTGCTGCCGTTTTCTGCTGCCGTACCCGTACTGATTAGCTCGTTTTCTTGATCGATCTGTATCTGTGCCGCACTCACGCGGCGGGCTGTCTGTCGTGCTTGCCGCATACTGGCTGCTGTTATTCTGCTGCCCCTATAGTTTAGCTGTTTTGAGCCTGCTGCCACACTCGCTGTTGTTTCTGCTGCTCCTCCACTGTTACTATTATCTGCTCTTGTTTTCTGCGTGCCTTTTCTGCTGCTGTTTCTCTCTGCTGCCGGGCCACTGCTGCTGTTCTGCTGGCCACCACTGTTGCTCTTCTGCTATTGTTTCTGCTCCACCACTGCTGTTTTCTGCTGCCACCACTGCTGCTGTTTCTGCTGTTTCTGCTGCCAGCATGGTGGCAGCAGCAGCAAAAACAGCAGCAAGTGGTGGCAGCAGTAAGAACAAAACAGCAACAGTGGGTGGCAGCAGAAAAGGCAGCAGTGGCGCAGCAGAAACAGCAGCAGTGGTGGCAGCAGAAAGAACAGAAACAGCAACAGTGGTGGCAGCAGAAAAGGCAGCAGTGGCGGCAGCAGAAAAGGCAGCAGTGATGGCAGCAGAAAAGGCAGCAGTGGCGGCAGCAGAAACAGCAGCAGTGATGGCAGCAGAAAGAACAGAAACAGCAATAGTGGTGGCAGAAGAAAATGCCACCACTATTGCTGTTTCTGTTCTTTCTGCTGCCACCACTGCTGCCTTTTCTACTGCCGCCACTGCTGCCTTTTCTGCTGCCGCCACTGCTGCATTTTCTGCTGCCACCACTGTGCTGTTTCTGTTCTTTCTGCTGCACACTGCTGCTTTTGCTGCCGCACTGCTGCCCTTTTCTGCTGCATCACTGCTGCCTTTTCTGCTGCCGCCACTGCTGCCTTTTCTGCTGCCACCACTGTTGCTGTTTCTGTTCTTTCTGCTGCCACCACTGCTGCTGTTCTGCTGCCGCCACTGCTGCCTTTTCTGCTGCCACCACTGTTGCTGTTTCTGTTCTTACTGCTGCCACCACTGCTGCTGTTTTCTGCTGCCACCACTGCTGCTGTTTTCTGCTGCCACCACTGCTGCCTTTACTGCTGCCACCACTGCTGTTGTTTCTGCTGCCTCCACTGTTACTCTTTCTGCTATTGTTTCTGCTGCCTTTTCTGCTGCTGTTTCTGCTGCCGCCACTGCTGCTGTTTCTGCTGCCACCACTGTTGCTCTTTCTGCTATTGTTTCTGCTGCCACCACTGCTGCTGTTTTCTTCTGCCACCACTATTGCTGTTTCTGTTCTTTCTGCTGCTTTCTGCTGCCACCACTGCTGCCTTTTCTGCT